GCAGCTATACCAGGGGCAATCCAGGCATGAACGTTTTCTTGTGAGTAAGGCTCTCTTTAGTTGCAAGTTCTCTTCAGGGAACCCGGTTGGTCCACACGTTCTCAAAATGATTGGTTACATAACCAATCTAGAGAAACTCGGGTTCTCCTTGCAGAAGGAGCTGGCAACGGACCTGATCCTGCAGTCGCTCCCTGAGCTGTATAAGGGTTTTGTCATGAACTACATGATGCATGATCTTGACAAACCCCTTCCGGAGCTTCTTAAAATGCTCCAGACTGCAGAGGAGAACCTTACTAAGGGCAAGGGTGCTTCCGTCCTTATGGTCCAAGGCGGAAAGGGGGAAGCCGAAGAAGGGGATTAAGATTAAGGCTAGGACGGTCGGAAAGCCTAAATCGAAGTCCACTTCATCTGCAACCCAGAAACCCATAGGAGGAGTTGCAAAGGGAAAATGTCATCATTGTGGTAAGGCAGGCCATTGGAGAAGAAATTGCAAGACATACCTCGCAACCAAGAAGAAGGAAGGTACGACCATTTCTTCCGAGGTGTATGTTATAGAAGTTAACATGTATCTTCATCATGGGTACTAGATACTGGATGTGGGTCTCATATCTGTACTACCATGCAGGGACTGAAGTAGAGTAGACGGTTAGCTCGAGGCGAGATTGAACTCTGAGTCAGCAATGGTGCACCTGTTGCAGCTTTGGCAATCGGAACTTATAGTTTAGTCTTGCCTATTGGTCTAATGTTGGAATTAAATGATTGCTTGTACGTTCCTGCAATTAGCAGAAACATTATCTCTATTTCATGTCTTGATAAGAGTGGTTTCATCATTTTTATTAAAGACAAGTCCCTTTCCGTTTACAAAAAGAATATTTTCTATGCTAATGCCAACATCACCAATGGGTTATATGTCCTTGACTTGGACATGCCTGTCTATAACATATCAGCCAAGAGGAACAAACCGATCGGTTTGAACCAAACATACCTATGGCATTGTAGGTTAGGCCATATAAACGAGAAACGCATATCCAAGCTACATCGGTCGGGAATGCTGGATTCATTTGATCTTGAATCATATGACACATGCGAATCTTGTTTATTGGGTAAGATGACCACATCTCCTTTCACCGGACACGGTGAAAGAGCTAGTGATCTTCTAGCACTCATTCATAGTGATGTGTGCGGGCCTTTCAATACAACTGCACGAGGTGGTTATTCATACTTCATCACTTCTACTGATGACCTCAGTAGATATGGCTATGTGTATCTCATGAAACACAAGTCAGAATCCTTTGAAATGTTCAAAGAATTCAGGAATGAAGTTGAAAAACAACTTGGCAAAAGTATTAAAACACTACGATCCGATCGAGGTGGAGAATACTTAAGTGGTGAGTTCGATGACTATCTTAGAGAGCATGGGATTTTATCCCAACTCACACCTCCTG